GGGGAACTTTATGAGTTGTTTTCTGTTTTTTTTTTTTTTTTTTTTTTTGCTTTTGCTATTTAGTACGAACTTTCAGAGAGGAGTTTTCTATTTTTTTAATCTTGCTTCTCGATGCCACGATATGTGCTGTCTCCCCTTGGCTCATCGGGGAACTTTATGAGTAATCTTCCGTTTAATTTATACTATTCTAGGGAAACGCGATCTTGTGACCTTTTAGATGTAAGATCAGTTGGAGACTGCATTGCTATACAAGAAAACTCACATGCTATTTTAGGAAAGGTTGAGTTAGTCCTTGTTTAGGAGCGTTGTTTTAATATTTTAGGAAATATACATTTATTGTCAATGTGGAGAAGTTATTTGGAAGCACACTTCGGAAACAGTACATGCATTCGAGCGCCATGCGCACCTTATCGACTTTTTCCTTCTTCTTTTTTCCCTCTAGATCTTTCCCTGATTCTCGGCGAATTAAGTTTTTTCGATTTCAAATTTGTTCTATATTTTCATATAAACAAAGTTGAGAGAACCCAATTTACGCTGGGTCCTGGGTCCTGTACTCTTATAAAACGTTTTTCAGCAGTTAAGAAAAAAGCTAATTTCCTCTGGAAATCACATTGAAGTTGATTAAACAAATTAAAAATAGTATAATATAAAACTTATCATTAATTAGTCAGGGGCTCAGAGTCTGCGATGCCCGTACCAGCGGGTAGGAGTAGGGAGGTTGGGGGTGGGTAGTATTGGTATGCTCCCAACTTCGACCGGTTTAAAAGCCTTTTTTGGGTTCTGTTTCTGCTAGAAACATCCTGTACGTAAAAAATAATGATTATAAAAATAGATTTCTAAAAAGTAATTTCTAGAAAAAGAAAAAATACATTTTTCTAATTCTTACAATATACTTAATTTATAAAATAGTTGCTCTTTTCAATTTTCTGAGGAAATTAGATTCCTGGGATTTTACTATTTTTCTGTTGTAGGAATCGTAATTTTTGGCCCGTTGCTTTTTTTTTTTTTTTTTTTTTGGCCCGTTGCTTACAATATTAGGTGGGATCTGTGTGTTTTGTGTGTATTCATACTATTTGATAGTCTTGCAGGTCTTTAGGCGTCTGTTTAGCCGAGTTAGGCAAACGTTTTCAATTATAAAGTTCTCGTGTTGGTAGCATGAAGGAATTTCTATCCCTTCCGTGGATTTCTGCTTATTCTAATGTAGCGATCATAGCAGATTGCTGTTTTCTGTTTCTGGTTTCGTAGAGGTTGGGAGTTTTTGTTTCGTGTGTGGTTTCTTTCGTTTTTCACATTTGCTGATCGTTTTTTGGTCGGGGCTAATATGGTGCCTTTTTATTGGTCACTCGAGATGATTTGGGAGTGCTGCTCCGCACAGACCTCGTCATGGTGGGCGGTGGGGTCTCTTAGGGGGTTGGCACAGACTGAGGGAGTGGTTAGCCCTAAATCGCGAGGAGGTGGGTGGGTTTGCAGGGTCTTTTGACCCTTACCAGGCGGGCGGTAGGGCTTTCCCACAGGGGTGAATTTGTGTGGCTGGGATTTTCTTCTAACATCCTGTTTTCTTGAGTGGGATTGGAGAGTGTCGCCACGGGGGTACTTCATCATGGAGGGCGGTGAAGATCCCATTGCGAGGCAAAATGCAGATGAGAGGAGTGGTGTACCCTAAATCGCAAGGAGGTAGGTGGGTGGGTTCTGCGGGGTCTTTGGCCCCTGCCGCACGGGTGATAGGGTATCTCCGCAGGTTAGCAAAATCACCATCATGGTGGGAGTTGGTGGTGGTTTTGGTTGGTGAATGTCGGTGGTGGTGCGATCCGCTCTAAATCACGAGGAGGCGGGTGGGTCTTTGCGGGGTCTGAGTCTGCGGTTTGGGGGTCGACGACCCAGACCCCGGCCGCGCGGGAGGTAGGGCGGATACGCAGGGTCTGGTGTTTAACAGAGGATGGGCGATTTTGTTACTGGCGTTGCGTACAATTAGGGTTTTTGCATACTCTTTTTCTTATGTTCGTTTTGTTGAACGTTTTCTATGATGTGAGGGATGCCGGACCCGTTTTCTGGCATTTATAATTCAAAAGCAGCTGTCGTATGAACCAGGCCGGAGTGCCTGGATCATACGACATTTGGCTGCCATTGTTCTGGTTAAAAAAAAAAAAAAAAAAAAGAAGAAGAAGAAGAAGAAGACGAAGAAGAAGAAGAAGTTTGCTCCCATTATTATTATTATTTTCCCAAATTGAATATATCCTTGTTTGATTTCAAAGTTCGATGTAAGAGGCTGGGGTTCCTCACAATTCAACCTGGGATAACCCCGGCAGCATCAGCCGCTAAACCGTTACTGGTGGTACGAGTTCACTGCCCGGCACTGTTGATTGCGTGCAGTGAACTGCGAACGGGCCTGGGCCGTTCGGCAGAGGGCCAGTGCAGACTTGGCTTTCTCAAATTATTGGGCCCATTCATTTTGAGACCGCGGGCTACCGGGTTCAAACGTGGGCTGGCCACCCAAGTAAAAACACAGGCCGATTCATTTCTGTCCCTACCGGCCATTCCGACCTCGGCCAATATGCACAGCGAATCTGACAACACACACAACACGTCAGCAAATGGGAAGGTCATGACATCCAAAGAAACGGCAGTGAATCTTCTTCTAGAACACAGATAGATATGCTGCCATGATTTTTGTCCTTTGTGCATGTAGAGAGTAGTGGAGTGAGGCCCTTAGTTTGTTTTTTTGTCACATGGAGACCTGTTTTTTTGTCGGGGGAGAGAGAGAGAGAGAGAGAGAGAGCAGGTGAGTCTCCAACCTTGGCCTAATGCTACTTCCTTCGGTAGGACGAGTAAAATAGAATGAATCTACTGCTAGAACATGGAATTATACATTGCCACACTCTTTTTTTTTTTTTTGTGTGTGTGTGTGTGTGTGTGTGCGTGTGTGTGTGTGTGTGTGTGTGTGAGAGAGAGAGAGAGAGAGAGAGAGCAGGTGAGTCTCCAACCTTGCGGCTGGCCTAATGCTACTTCCTTCGGTAGGACGAGTAAAATTGAATGAATCTACCGCTAGAACATGGAATTATACACTGCCACACTCGTTTTTTTTTTTGGTTTTTTTTTTTTGTGTGTGTGTGTGTGTGTGTGT